AACATAAAAAAATGCCACATCACACAATACACATACAATTAACCGGGGAATTTATAGGATACCTACTAAATTTTTTTTTCCAATTTTAATTAAGTTTGAGGGTTTAATTGAGTGAACTTTCAGTATGAGGGTCTAATTGATTTTTTTTAAAAGATGGAGGGCTTATTTGATAGTTTTCCCTAAATAAATTCAATAGTTTTTTTTTTTGGATAAAAGGTAAATATATAAATGACAAAGTAATGTACTGTTTACATGGCTAGCCCCTATATGTCTGAAGTAAAACAAACTTTGCTTAGTAATTAAACATTCATCGAGCAATTAAACATTCATCAAGCAAAACAGAACTACCCAAAACATTCGACTAAAAGATCAAAAAGCTATCATACTTGCGGGATAAATGATAAATCCTAAACAAAACACAGTAAACAAGTAATCTTATCTGTGATACTATGCCCTCAACAGTTACTGATTTTTTACTAAGAACGTACTCATTCCGAGCCTTCCAAATAAAGTAAACAGCACACCAAAAAGCTAACCGTATCACCTTGCTCTTTAACCTTGCACTTTTGTACTGTTTGATGCACATCTTGACGGTACTAAGGAGAGTGGAGGTATCTTTTGTGATGTTCAACCAACTCTTAATTCCCTTCCAAACTGCTCCAGTGAAGGAGCAATTAAAGAATAGATGGTTTGCTGATTCCAAATGGTCTTTACAAAAGCAACAGGTTCTGTCCAAGTCAATATACAAAAGATTATCACACATAGCGAGTCTATTCTGAAGTCCTAACCAGAGGATAAAGGAAAACTTTGGCGGAATATAATTCTTCCATATCAATTTCATCCAAGGTTTACTCTGCCCTTTCATTCGCAATAGATTATAAATCTTTGATGCTTGTACTTTTCCAGAGTTGCAGAAACCTGAGAGCTTATGAATGGTATTATGTTGTCCACCCAGCTTAGTGATCAAAGTATCCCTAATTTTTATTAATTTGTTGAAAAGTTGGGATCACCAGAGGGGGGAGGGGGAGTCCATTCCTAGGTAGAGCACCCTTTAAGATATACACTATGGATCCATTGGACCCAGAGCGTATCCTTTTTAGCATGAATATCCCAAAGTGTTTTTGAAAGCATGGTAGAATTACAAGCTTTACAATCAAAAAGTCCAAGCCCTCCCTCATCCTTTGGCTTACAAATATCCACCCAACCAACTTTGGCGTTTGACCCACCCCATAGGAATTGTCTGCAATGGGTTGTGATCTTTTCAATGATAGTAATCGGGATAGGAAATACTTGAATCCAGTAGGATTGGATGCCCTGAATCACCTCACTTGTGAGTTCTAATTTGCCCGCATAGCTCATGTTTTTTTGTTTTCCATTTGAGTGTGAAATTCTCAATCTTTTTAATCAGGGGTGAGTATTAAGCCACAGAGACTCTAAAGGGAGCTAGGGGAACACCTAGATATCTTACAGGAAACTCACCAACTGGAAATCTAACCTCATGGAGAATGAAATCTTTTTCATGTCCAGCAATCCCTGCTAAGAAGATGTTTGATTTAGCAATATTTACAACAAGACAAGAAACCTCGTGAAATTGCTCCAAGCATTGCATCAAAGTTTTAATAGAAGTCAAATCTTCCCTGGAATAAAGCATGAGGTCATCAGCAAAAATTAAGTGAGAAATTTTCAATTTGCCACATTTGCAGTGGAAGTTGAAACCAGGATACGATGTTCTCATATCCCAATGATCTGGAAAAATTCTCCATGCATAGTAGAAACAGTGTAGGGGATATAGAGTCACCTTGTCTGAGGCCCCTCTTCCCTTTGATGAAACCATGTAGGCCCCCCATTTATAGAAATAAATATGTAGGTGTACTGATGCATTCCCAAATCCATCCTACAAATTTGGGGGGAAACTTATAGTCTTACATGAATTTCCAAGAAAATGTATCATAAGCCTTTTTAAGATCAACTTTCAGAAGACATCTGGGGTGAAATAGCTTTCTTGGGCTAGAAGGATATTGTCAGTAATCCCTCTCCCTTCCACAAAGACACTTTGAGCGGGATTTATAATATCAACAAGGAGAGGTCCCATTCTTCTGTTCAAGATCTTTGATATTGTTTTGTAGGTAACATTTGCATAGGAAATGGGTCTGAAGTCTGCACCCGAAGGGTTATGTGACGTTTTAGGGATTAAGGCTATAGATGTGTGATTGAGTTGCTTCAGGAGTTTTCCGTGATCAAAAGAATTCTAAGATCGTTGTAGTAAAGCCATTCCCAATTAGCTCCCAATTCTTTATAAAGAATCCAGATGAGTAACCATCAGGCCCAGGTGCCTTATCATCCTCAATATAAGAAAGGGCATCCTTCACTTCTTGTTGTGTGACAGGTTCAATTAGTTTATGAGACATGGTTTGGTCAACCAGCCGGCCTCTTTTTATAACATTTCTTCCAAATTCTTACCAAGGGCATCAGTGCCTAAAATCTTCTCAAAATAGAGAGTAAACTCCTTGATGACGTCATCATATGAGGTGGTCTTCTGGCCATTTCCTTTCACTACTGAGGCAATGCAGTTTCTGGTGGCATTCCTTTTTGCAAGTATTTGGTGCATCTGTCCGCCTCGTGATCTTGGCTCTTTGATGAAAGAAGGAGAGCTCAGCTTCAGATAAGATCGAAGGCAGCTTTCATTTGTTCCATGATACTAGGGTTATCTGGGCCCAAGTTTAGTAAAGTGATCCATTCATTAGGACGAGATTATATACTATCGTATAAGAAAGCAAATGTCTCAAAAAAAATACAAATCGTGGCTTGCTAATTTTTCTCCCTGGTGCTCACCAGTTTTTTCCGAAGCATCGGTACGTAACTATGTATCATGAGATTCAAATTGTGGGCAAGTAAAAAAAAACCTTTTTCTTCAAAGTAGTACTACGTATAACTTTTTCATTTTTACTTATATTTATATAAAAAAAATATCAAAATTCATAATTTCTTATAACCTTTCAAATGACAACAATATTACATATATAAATTCTTTTAAAAATATGAAGATAGAACATAGATTAATTGCTTCACATGCAAATGTGGGAAATATAATTGGAAGCATACTCTAATTTTGTTAGATGGATAATTAAATATGTGAATTTGCTATTCATAAAAGGTCACATTTTATTTAAGAAATGCGACATTTTACTAAAATAAAAAAAACTTCATACACATGCTTTACCGATGAAAGCATAAAAGTATGAGTTAAAATGTTACATTTTGTTAAAATAATATCACCGTGTTAAAACAATGTCAATCTCAAAAAAAATCTTCATGTTCAAATAATTGCTTAATAAATAGACTTGCATTGTGTTATTATTTTGGACTTTCAATTTAGTACATGCAAAGGGAGTCTATACTTGGTCGTTTGACCTACAAATTCACATTACCCTTTTTAACTATCTATGCCTGCTTCATATGAATGTGAATCATTTCACTAGCTTTATTTTAAAAAAAAATGGTACAATATTGAAAATATGTCAATACTATAAAAATGTCACACTATTAATAAAATGTGAAATTTATATATAACTACATTTTGGGAAATAAATAATACGCAACTTTTTACTATCATTAGTTTAACGAAATGTTTACATATAAATGGGGCGCATATAGATGTAATTTCATTTATCATTCTATATTTTTATGTTATTTTTCTTATGTCATTTATCTCTTTTATCTTTATCTATCTTATATTCTTATTTATTTTTATCTTACCTTATCCTACCTTGTCTTTAATTGCAATAAAAGCATAAAAATAGTAAAAATACTTTAATTAATAATAAAATTGCAATAAATAAAACAAAAAATCAAAAACACAAAAAAGATTACAAATTTTCATAATCAAAATTGTAAAACTATTTAATAGTGAATTTAATATTAGGACGGTTAAAGTTGTGCGTTGGGCACGAAGAGTCCCGGTTCTAAATGCTAGTGAGTGATATATTCGGATATGTATATCTATATAAATGAATTTTATGATAGAACCATTCTTATCTTATACTCCTATTTGTGGGTTTTCGTTAAGAAAAATTGTATTTATATAGTCAATGAAAAGCATATACATACTATGTACTATGTAGTATAAGACAATATATATTAAAAATATTGTAACTGTTATCTACAATTTGTTACTCCATATAATATTTCTTTGTAATACGGAGTAGGATTTCAAAATTTACGTCTCCTTACCTGGGTTTGTTAAGAATGTCTCCTTGCTGGGCAATGTTTTGTATTTTTCTTGATTCATATTTAATTACTATTCACTTTTCATAATGCATAAATTTGTTATTAATATATTTTGACTGGCACTAAATGTTAAGGATTGCTATTTTAAAATGGGTATATGTATGCAAAGATCTAAGTAACCTTATTGTTTTATACTTTTATTAGGTGTGTGTCACGATATGAAAAACAACTTACTCCCTCCGTCCCGCAATTAAGTTCACACTTTGACTTCACACAGATTAAGAAAATAAATTTGACTTTACTGTGGAGTGCACTGTTTTGCACTGTTTAAACACTGTTTGACACTGTTTGGTACTGTTTTGATGTAGATAATTTGCCAAATAAGAAAAGTATTGAAGCGTGAAGTTAAATTCGAGACTGCCGAAAAAGGAAAGTGAGAAGTTGGTACATGTGAATGACTGCCCAAAAAGGAAAGTGAGAAGTTGGTACATGTGAATGACATAATATACCTTATATACGCTTGAACTTCTTACCCTTTAATCTTTATACGAAGTATTAAATACGGAGTAATAAATTATAAAACATAAAAATCCATTTCTAAATCTCATGCTTACTAGTAGTCTTGGAATATCCTCATAAATCAATCAACTGATTAAAATTTTCTATGCTGAAGGGATCTTATCATATTGGTCCAACAACACCTATGACTTGTTAAACGGATCAATTTTGTCACACATTTACCCTCGGGTCACCAAGGACTAATCATCTGAACTGCCTATAGTAGATTGGCTTTTCACGTTATATTCACATATGAACTAGAAAGTTTAGAATAGAGAAAGCAATAATAGCTTGAAACAGAGGATCTCACTCAACCTTTCAAATATTACAGGCGAGAAATTAATTATTAATAGTCACAATGATAAACTCACATGCCAAGACAGGGGTGCTCTCGACTAACCAAAGAGATATACAGACTGCAAAAGAATGAAACTAGGCCGTATTATGAAGCTTAACACTAACACAGTATTCTCTCCTACAGCCACAAGACCACTGTTTCGACATAACAATGACAAATCATACCCACCAACAGCACTATAGGTGACTTCCAAATTTATGATATGATATAGCAAGCTAAGAAGAATCACATAGCAACACGGCCAACTTCATGCTTCCACAGGCATTACAAGTTTATAGAGGTGGCATCTGGAGTTCCAAATCTAGTCAGCTTTAATGTCTTCCCCATAGCTCTTTGCAATTTTGTTTTGTTCACCGCCTATTTTAGAGCCTTCTTGTAGCTGAAAAGAGCCAGCAACAATAAAAGAATATAAGTGTTGGACGGGCCCGTCATTCATTTGAAAACAGAAAGTGCTGTCTTTAACATAGCCTCTAGGAATCGATTAGCCACATTAACTGACCCATTTTCAATTAAGTAGTGTTTTTGTTTGTTTCTGTTTGTAAGATAATCTTCTTGGTTGTATAAGGGGTAGTGTTTCAGAATAAAACTGATTTGTTTAAACAGGAACACCTATTTGAAAACAATACTTTCAGGAGTTTCAGCTTTCTTAAGCAAAAAAACGCATATATACTTTTTAAAATCAATGGATAACACTCCCTTGATATAGTTCAAATAAAATCTATAGCAAAATAAAACCCTGAAAACCCAGGGTGGACAATGTTTTTGTGAAACAAATTTGAAGAAAAACACACGCAGAAAAATGAAGCCTGTGGAGTTACCTGCTGAAGGACTTTCTTGTGATAACGGTACCCCTGTGAGATAAAGGCCAAACAAAAGGTTTAATCAAAATTTTAAAGCCTATATAAATTACGGTTGAAAATCAATAAAAAAAACATTAATTTGTGTACACTCACCTTGTCAGTTCCGTAGATGTAATCACAATAGGTGAATACTGAAGCAAAATTGCTCTGGCTTTGACCTCCAACATAATGATGGTAGTCATGGTAATCTGGGCCACCATAAAAAGGAATGTATTTTGTGGGTGTCCAAGGAAGGTCATACCTGAATCAACACCCTTAACAACAAATGAGTCAAAACAGACAAACTACCATGTTGGAACCAATAGAACATCATCGAAGCAAACACACAAGAATTTTCACAAAAAACAGATGTACTTTCTTGTTCATTGATGCTATGATAGATGCCACAACAGTAGGCAGGTGGCTGTAGAATGTCATCTACATCAACAAGAGTCACCCAATTCATTACCTCCCTAACAATACACTCAAAGAATGCATCTATTTTCAATCGAAGTGATACAACTAAATTAAACAAAAAAAGAAAAAGAAAAGAAGTCAATGTTGGCTACATGAACATATTAGTTGCCACAACTCTTTTCTGTCATGAGTCATGACCATATGCACATGAAGTGCCAATGCCTTCAATGTATTTTTAACCCTCAATCTGATGCATTTTTGGCACACCACAACTCTTCTTTAGGTCTCCAGCGTTCCAAGACACCATGCTTAATGGCAAACATGCCTGGCCAAATGTCTTTACCTTATCTTCAATAGTCACTACACCCGCTTGGAACACTGCCGTTTTTAGTTCTACTACACATTCATCTTAAATCACTAAATCACAAAATATCTGCCACTCTAGTGATCCTAAAAATTCTCCTCAGCAACCTATCAAAAGTCCCAACCAATACTTTTTCAAGCCTACGCTCTGATCCCTCAAAATAGACCACTATCAGGACATTTTGCACTATAATTTCTCCATGATAAGGGCATTGAGTTTTAAGGCAGTTGAACTAATGGCCTTCAAGGAGGAGGAGCCGGCCATGAAGGAATATCCCGTTCCCGTCTCGGGGCAGTACCATGTTCTTAGGCGTGATTTTAATATTTCTGATTCATATCTTGATGTTGAGGTAGAAGTTAAAACTCGGCTTATTTAATTAATGTTGAGGTAGGTAATCAACAAGAGTCACATATGTTCAACATTTTAAAAGTCCTGGACATAAATTTCTTCAGATACAAAACACCTTACACCATGATATGTCTCGCTCATGGGGCTGCCGATATTCCAATTATATAATTAACATGTATTGAATTCTGAAGTGTATGTAACATGTTGATAGGATAATAAATAAACAATGGACGCTTTGCTTTTTGTACACCAAAGATTACACCAACAACATCTTTGTTCTCATCGAGATGTTATATTGCTCATGTCTATGACCACTATAGCATGTCTATATGGACAAAAGATAGTGTAGGTGTACAAAAAGCATTTCTCAACAGTGGTAATGCTAACTTTTAAGATGCTTCTAAGGAGCTCATCAACCGAAGATAAGCTGGGTTGAAAAAGACCTTCCCACAACAATTTGCCATAATTGACTTTTTTGAGATGCTTCTAAGGAGCTCATCAACCGAAGATAAGCTGGGTTGAAAAAGACCTTCCCACAACAATTTTCCATATTTGACTTTTTTGATAAAAAAAAATGTTGAGCAGTTCTTTTAATCAATATTTTCGAATGAAATATACTACGTATAAATTTTGTACTCTTATAAGAGTATTTTGAACAAAGAACATGTTCATAATATTTCATTTTTGTATAAAACTGTATCAGTGGACATACTTTTGACATTTTATATTATACCAACAAAAAGTAAAAAATTACAACTCTTTGTGGGGCGGAGGCAGTAGTTAACTACTTATAACTTACATATACATTGATATCATTTGCAAATATTGAAGTGAAATTAAACAAGGATAATATTAAAAAAACAAAGGAGACAGCATGTTAGCTCCCTATTTTGAACTACACAAAGACACACACAATGTGAGAATTTAGAAATGAGAACCAGATTTAAAATTTGTTTAGGCGCATCACCAAAGTTGCCAAAGCACAAAAGAAACAAAAAGGGTGACTCTTGAGTGATAGAAGGGGCATCTCTTTACTGTACAGTGTCATATTGTCAAACAAAAGAAAAGGAAAGATAATGCATGCGTACCCACTGTGCGTCTCAATTGCCTCAATCTGTCTCAGCCCAATCCACAACCAAAAGGTAATCATGTGACCTGGAACCATGGCCGGCCCAAGAAAAGATGGAATCCCGAGGATCAAAATCTCCGCCCAGTGTGCATATGGCGCTGCAAATCCTATAGGAGCTGAGTAGTCGTGGTGAACCTTGTGAATCTTATCGTACCCCCATTTGCAATGCAAAAGCCTGTGAATCCAATAATTGGCGTAATCCTCCACTAAGAAATACACTGCCAATTGGGACACAATTTCCCAGATCGAAGGAAGGGGCAAGCTTGTCCTGATCCCGACCATCTTGATGATCCACAAAATAACAATTAACACAAACACAATTAATCAAGCAATACATTCCATAGAATGATCAAATATTTGGAAAGCAACAAACACCAAAGGAGAGAGTACTTTGACAGACGGATAAGACAGGAGCTGGAGAGGGCCAACGACGAAGACGAACATGCGCATGACGGATTTGTAGCAGCTGAAGGCCTCGGCGAGGGTGAGATTGACTTTAGGCTGAATCTTGTAGCAATGGACGGAGTTTTTGAGGAAAAATTCGAGGAAGAGGTAGTAGAGCGGGACGACGGAGAAGATGAGGAAGAGGAAGAGGATGGTGTGGCAGTAGAGGAAGTAGTCCGATTTGGTGGCAGTGTAGTTGAACCAGAGAGTCTCCGCCGCCGTGAGGGGTCGTTGGAGGGCGAATTCCGCCTCTTGGATGGTGGCGTACGGCAGCATTGCTCTGCCCTGGAGGAGGGAAAGCGAAAGCGAGTGAGCTATGGATGGAAAAATCGAAGGGTTGGTAGAATTGGGCAAAAAATAATAGAATATGATGATTAGAATCGGAAGAGAGCAGAAACAGTTGTGCAGATTCCTGCCTACGCGTTAGAGTGGTAGCATAAATGAACTGAGGAAGGACCCACTTTAAGCTGGGTTTTCTGAAATGAGCGAAAGCCCAGCTTCGATCCACGTACTCTGGTATAGTAGGAAACAATGAACGTGGCTTTTTGTAGCATCATTTATACTCCGTACTACGTACAAGGGTAATTTTCACACTTTTTCAAAATAAACTTTATTTTACTTTTCAAATCAATGGCCACTGTCCCATTTTACTTGGTTAAACTTGACTTTACAAATCAATGATGTCTAATTTTGACCGATTATATGTTTATATAGAGAAAATATTGATAATATGAAGATGATATGAAAATATTCTTTGTTAAAAATATTATCATAAAAGTATGAAATTATTAAATTTTTCATAAATATATTAGTTAAAATAATTGGTCAAAATTAATCATTTTTTATTGGAAAAGTCAAATATGGATGAGTAAATTGGGACGAAGGTAGTATACGGAGTAATAAAGAGTAATAAATATGGAGTACTCCGTCTGTTCCACTTCTCTTTTCTTCCTGTTCTTCCAAAAGTTGGAATCTCCCACCCCATGAGCCCCACACTCCAATTCAACAGCATGATGGAGGAGTAAGTCACAATGACTCAATCTGTCTAATGGTGGTAGACCTTATACCCGTGCGCGCCAGAGATCCAACCCAGCACGCAGGATCTGTAACCCCCACACGACCGCTGCGAGTTTCGATCCTTGGTAATTGTTCCAAATTTCCCACCACTAAACCAAACGTAACTGAGCTACTTGTGCAGGTGTTTCTTTTCTTCTCATTTGTTTCTTCTGATAGTTTTATATATCTAACATACATTTATATTTTTCTTACTCAATTATGATCGTATATTTTCACTTTTAAAACTTCGATCCAAGTCAAATTGGGAAGAAGTTTGTGGAACTTTATTCTTACTTTGACATATCTGCAACTTTTAATCACACCATTTTTCAGCATCTTAATGTATGAACACGTTTGGTGACTCTATTTTTTGGCTATCACATTGTTAGACAACTTTCCACTAAACACGTAACTTTTTATTTCATTCACCGAATTATGTAATAATCAAAATAAGTTACTGGAGTTAGGATGTTTTTACTTGGACTGTAATTTGCCCCAGACCAGACCAGACCAGACCAGACCAGTCCAGACCAGACCAGACCAGACCAGACCAGACCAGACTTGGATAGTTATGAAAATACAAAGAAACCAGACCTTACCAGACCAGACCAGACCAGTTCAGACCAGATCAGACCAGATCAGACCAGATCAGATCAGACCAGCAAATTACAGTCCAAGTAAAAAGATCCTTACTGTACAAGACTACTTTAGCTATTTTCGCATATTTTTATTTATTTTATTAATAAAATCTGTTTTGAATATAACTTTTTCATAAATAAGAAAAACTAGTCAATTCAATCACTTAAGTTAGGACTTCATAAGTTTCATAATCATTTGATTCAGTCAATTTCAAGTTTTCAACTAATTCATAATGAATGTAGGGATGACATATAAAAATCTTTCATATTGATGTATATTAGTATTTTTTGTGTTGTATTTGTGAGAATAAAATAAATATTTGGATGAAAATGTGTTTAGAATCTTTTGTACAAAATGTCATAATGCATCACCACAAATCCGCAATGTGATTAGCGTGAGTATTCATGAAGGATCACCACAATAAGCAATGTTTGGGCAACAACGTTTTACCCCAAAACTTTGTTTTTTTCAATTCGATTCGATTTAAGTTGGATTGAAGTATGGCTTAATTCAATCCAAATTAGTTCATTATGAATTTCATATGTTTAGTTTTTACTTGCGGTCTCATTTTGGTACGCTGCTCAATATTGCGGTCTATAGATCTGACAATTAGCCTCTATATTAAAAAGATGGTTTAATGTCCATGATTACTTTCAAAATCTTAATTGTCAGGTTGCGGTTTATACTTTGATGGATAGTCCACCCGGGGTACCTTATCCGAGGGGTTATTGCGGGAATAACTAGAGAGAAGTCAGAGCAAATAGGAGGAGAGAGAGTCGATTCCATTAAATGAACTCAGCGTGGTTTACAAGGTGAAGAAGGGCTGCTTTTTATAGCAGCAATAAATGCGATGAGAGTACACGTGTCAACAATCCAACGGCCGAGGGGTCACATCAATCGGGTGGCACTGGCAGTGGCATGTTCACCGCATTGAATGCGGTGGGTGGATGTGACGTCGTATTAAATGCGGTGGTTGGCTGTCTCCAAAGGGAATTTTTGATGGTTGACTCGTGTAGCCGAAGACTCGGTTCTTCACCCGAGGGCTTCTCCAATGCCGAAGGCTTCACAGTGCCGAAGGCTCATGTTTTTCTGCCGTTTTCTCCCAGCAGCTTCGTATGTCGGAAAAGTCTATACTGTGAGTTTTGGAGCCTTCGGCCAAGGAGGCCGAAGGTACCCCAGTGTGTACTTCGGACTTCTTTGAGGCTTGGGCCATTGTATTTGGGCCTCAGATGCTCCCTGGGCTTAATGGGCTTTTGTGGGAGAAGCAGGAGTCTATGAGCCGGGGGTTCCTGGGCCATATACTCCATCAGGAGTCCCTCACTCCTTTTGCCGAAAGGTACTTGAGGGAAAAGGAGTAGCTGTGTTGATTCTTCCGGAGGCTTCATCGTTTCGTTGGGCGCCTTTGCTTGAGAATTTGCCTTCTGCTGTCTGCCGAAGGCTTCCCTCAGTCCCTCACATGTCGAGGGTTTTCTGAGGAAAGTGTAGATAACATCTGTATGTGTTGTGATGAGGGCTGCTTCATTATTGTGAGTGATTTGGGGAAATTTTTGACATTTTGATTCTGCCAAAGGGTACAGTGTAGTATATACCCGAGGGGTTCTCCTTCGATGTTTGTCCGAGGGTTTTATGCGTCGCTTGTAGATTTTTGCAATTGGGAATTTTTAGTTCTGTGTGACTCCCGAGGGGTGTATCCCAGTCCCCCACTCCTTTTGCCGAAAGGTACTTGAGGGAAAAGGAGTAATTGCGTTGATGAATTCCCGAGGGACGGCCATATTGATAAGCCGAAGGCTTATACTGCTACATGGTTGAGGGTGCAACACTGAAAAGCCGAGGGCTTATACTGCCGCCTGCTTGAAGGCACAAGGTGGCACATGTTTATCGGGGGCCACCATCCAAGTACGCCGGTGAGTTGTAACATTGATAAGCCGAAGGCTTGTACTGCTGCAGGCTCGAAGGCGTTTGGTGGAATTCGTTGGCTGAAGGCTGCGGTGATTGATAGTCGGAGGCCGTCATCTGAGGGCTGCCTCATAAGTTTCCAAAATAGAGCCGTTGGAATAGAGCCGTTGCAGGGGTGACACACGTGGCGTGTCCGCGTTGGCTGAAGGGGGGGCGGGTGCCACCCGTTGGTCGAAAATGCGGCCTGTAATGATGGGCTTTTCAAGTCGAGGCCCAGTAATCGAGGCCCGGTTGCCTATAAATACCCCCAAGGCCAGACTCATTTTTCTTGCGCGATTTTATCGAAGCGAAGCTCTGCCAATTTTTCTAGAGAGAGAAAGCGTTCTCGTCGATCAAACCCAAGTTTTTCTTCGTTCCAAGGTCAGTTCTTCCTCCGTTCTTCAGTTTTTCCCCATACTTTGCTTCCCCGCGCTTTGATCTAGTGTTGGAGTATTTTTAGCCAAACTTCGTTCCCTCCACCCTTAATCTAGAGAGGATGTCTTCGGCGAGTGACTCTCAGGACATCTCGAGGGAGCCTTCGGCACATCAAGAGAGTTATTCTGATATGGAATCCTCAAATGAACCGGCCCCGTCGGCGGATGACTCCGCCGTAGCTGAAGAGGAAATGGCCCTCGCTCTCCAGGTGGCGGAGGAGGAGGAAGAAAAGGAGAGGCGACAAGTAACGATTGTTGTCATGCCCCCCCGAGATGCTGATGAGGCTAGTAGCTCTCGGCCGCTCAACCCGGAACCTCTTAACGTCGCCCCGCGCAAGAAGAAGAAAAAGGTGAGGGCCGCGCCGAAGAAGAAGCAGGCCGCCATCGATGCGGGTCAGCCTGTGGGAATTCCCGAAGGTCATTCATATTTGAACACAGCAGTCCTCGCAATGAAGACGAAGGCTACAGCCGCTGATTACCAGGCCACCCAGTTCTTAGTTGGGCCCTTCACTCAAGTGGTGGAACCGGGGCCCAACGATTTGCTGTCTAACCCACCCGAAGGGTGCTTCTCCGTCCACATTCTCTCCATAGACCTAGGCCTCCGGTTTCCCCTTCATCCTTTCTTGTTGGAGTACCTTCGATTCCTGGGGTTGGCCCCCTGCCAGCTGACCCCTAATAGTCATTCGTATATCTCTGGCTTCCTCTCTCTCTGCCGGTCCCGGGGGGTGGAGCCGACCCTTGATCAATTCTTTCTCTCCTTCAACCTGTGTCGCGGGGGACACTCACATGCGGATGGGTTCGCCAATCTGCATCAGGTCCCTGCATGGAGACATGGAGACTGTTCTCCGAGATCCCGTCGTCTCACAAAGGGTGGAAGGACCGTTTTTGTTACATACGGATGGCGGATAACCCCTTCCCGAGGCCCCTACGTGATCACTTCCGGAGGCATCTGAAGGTCAGGAATTACGCTCTCGAGAAGGTCGGGAAAAAGCTGGTGACGATAAAGGCTACCACCCTTCCGGACTAGCTCTATTTGTTGGACTTTCGGCGGTTCCGACTGATGGGGGGAAAAGTTGAGAAGTACCCACCAATAGACCGAGTGTTCCAGAGTGCCGAAGGTTGTTGCCGAAGGCTCTACCATTTCCATACTTAGGATTTTTTTTATCATTCCTTCTTGTCGTTATCATGATGCTATAGTGTGACGTTTGCTCGTTTTTCGCAGGTCCCGAGATGGATGCTAAATCCCTTTCCTTACTGAAGAAGCAAATGGCGAAGGAGGCCAAAAAGAAAGGGGGGCCTCCCCCACAGAAAGCTGTAGACGAGTTTTTCCAGAAGCCGGGGGCTTCCAAGGACAAAGACGCCGAGGGCCCTTCAAAGGGTGACGCTGTCGGCACTGATGCCCATGTGGAGGCTGGGGGCTCTAAGACTGAGGAGTTGAAGCGGAAGAACTC